TCCGAAAAGCCAATTCGGTGAGTTCGCCTTTAATTGTGTACTGCATCAAATTCCTCCCCACCTCAAGTATCAGGCCACAAACACACAGCTGGTGGGTTGCATTCTGCTCGATGGGTCACAAATTGCGCCGACCCAGGATGCCTGGAGCACATCAGTGCATGATTTGAATGAAGAGTTGAATTTCAGTTTGGAGCGGAGGAGCAAACAGCCCGTGGGCTTCCTTGACATCACGGCTTGACAAGAAGCAATGCAAGGAAATAGGAGCATTTAACAAATGACCCTTCTGTCTATGGGAATGCAAAACAATTTGACGTCCGAAACCATACATAATGGGGAGCTCAGTCCTTGCCATCATCCAGCGTTCTTCCCACAGGGAATTTGGATGCTGAAGGGAATTGATCTCCATCATCTCTTTCCAAGTGCTGTCAAGATGGTCGGCTTAAACCCCTGCTACTGCAAGGAGAAGCCACTTCAACTCCCCTCCCTTGGTAGTCAAGAGAATACATGCTATTCTCACTACAGCAGATTAAATCCTCCATGAAGATAATGGCTGTAGGCTCCGTTTTACTTGGTCTCAGTCATGGTGTATATATTTATATAAAATAGTATATTTTCTCAGCCTAACCGGAGGGAATGCTACCAACTGAGAAGAACATCTGCTTGAAGGATGATGGCGTCTTTCTTGAAGCCCACCATGAACGGCGGAGTTGCGAAACAATGGCCGCATTTTACACCTCCGGGACCATTCCCCTCAGAACACCTCAAAGCTTGTTATATGCACGTTCCGATGGAATTCTGCAACAATCCCACGGGTTGGGTATTATCCATGTTTCACAGAGGGCAGCGGGTCAAGTATCATTCACATAAAGTCACATAATGAATCTTGGAAAGAGCTGGGGAAGAGGGGAGGGAATTAGCCAGGATTTCTGGCTCACGGGAGCTGTGTTTTAATCATTACATCATGTGCCGGCCTCGGCGCTCCATGCCAAACCACCTATGTATATCTCTCTAAGATGTGCAGCTGTTAGAAATAATGCATTAATTGCTGGAACGAACTGTTCACCAGTAGCCAGAATGGACGCAGCAGATTAATAGTTGTTCCTAGGAGCAATAACATTTTGTGTGTGTGGTACGGAGGGCAAAGAGTGTCAGGAAATTGAAACCTTTACCTGGGGAGCCCGGAGAGCATTTTATTAGCAAGTTGGCTGAGGTCACTTATGATCACCACTTTTATTAGGCTGTAGTCACCTCTTTGATCTCGCTGCGCATTGGACATCCGATAGCCTTCTCCCGATCACAGTCAAGTTGTATATATGTATTTAAAAAACGAACAGAAGCACAGATGTGCAATTCTTTTTCTTCATGGCTCCGGATCAGATTTGTTTCTGAAGGTCAAGTCGTTTCCTTCTAGGAAATCTGATCTCCTGAGATTCTTTCTGGCTCCCTTTCTGCTGCATGAGGGGTTCCCAAATGCTTCTCCATTAGCCCTCAATGTTTCTAAGTCCTATTGTTGCAGTAGCACAGAGGTAGGGGGGCCTTTTGTCAGTCTGAGGGCAGCATTCTCTTCATTTGCAGCCTTCTGTGGTTCACCTCCTAGTGGTGGTTGGTGTCCAAGCCAAAGGTTGTTGTTTAGTCATTTAGTCGTGTCCGACTCTTCGTGACCCCATGGACCAGAGCACGCCAGGCACTCCTGTCTTCCACTGCCTCCCGCAGTTTGGTCAAACTCATGCTGGTAGCTTCGAGAACACTGTCCAACCATCTCATCCTCTGTCATCCCCTTCTCCTTGTGCCCTCCATCTTTCCCAACATCAGGGTCTTTTCCAGGAAGTCTTCTCTTCTCATGAGGTGGCCAAAGTATTGGAGTCTCAGATTCACGATCTGTCCTTCCAGTGAGCACTCAGGGCTGATTTCCTTCAGAATGGATAGGTTTGACCTTCTTGCAGTCCATTCGACTATCAAGAATCTCCTCCAGCACCGTAATTCAAAAGCATCAATTCTTCGGGGCTCAGCCAAAGGTAGGCATGGCCAGAGGCAAAGTTTGTGAAACAAGCTACACTGCAGCCCTGCAAGTCAGAGGTTTCTCTAAACCAACAAAGGTCCCTCCATCCAGGCAAGCAAAGCACATTATCACAGCTGAAGAACACATTGCAGCCAGCGCTATCCCCATCCACATGCTCATAACTCCAATGTCTACTAGATGGAGGAGCATCAGGGTACATAACGGCAGTGTGGGGTGATCACAGCCACAGAGGTTTTCCCAGTTCAGGCACAACCTGCCATTCATTCATGTGAAAAGGATAACTGAACTCACTCCCTAATAACGGCCCGTGGACGACCGAGTATTTAGAGACATGATCTTTATTTGCCAGTAAGTTTCCGAGCACAATTCAAAGCGTTGGTGCTGACCTTTAAAGCCCTAAATGGCCTCAGTCCAGTATAGCGAGTGAAGGAGTGAAGGGGTTGAAGGAGTGTCTCCACCCCCATCGTTCTGCCCGGACACTGAGGTCCAGCTCCAAGGGCCTTCTGGCAGTTCCCTCGCTGCAAGAAGCCAAGTTACAGGGAATCAGGCAGAGGGCCTTCTCAGTAGTGGCACCCAACCTGTGGAACGCCCTCCCACCAGATGTCAAAGAGAAAAAACAACTACCAGACTTTTAGACGACATCTGAAGGCAGCCCTGTTTAGGGAAGCTTTTAATGTTTAATAGGTTATTTTATTTTAATATTCTGTTGGAAGCCGCCCAGAGTGGCTGGGGAAACTCAGCCAGATGGGTGGGGTATAAATAAATTATTATTATTATTATTATTATTATTATTGGAATGGCAAATGCCAGAACAATATTCAGCCATACAATTATTGTAACTGTGCTCCTGTGTCCTAGGCTCCAGAGCAGGAGAAGACAAGCTTTTCCCCTCTTCCATGTGACAGCCCTTGAGATATTTGAAGATGGCTATCATAACTCCTCTCAGTCTCCTCTTTTGCAGGCTAAACATACCCAGCTCTCTCAACCGCTCCTCATAAGGCTTGGTTTCCAGACCCTTGATCATCTTGGTTGTCCTCATCTGCACACGTTCCAGCTTGTCAACGCCCTTCTTAAATTGTGGCACCCAGGACTGCACATTCCAGCTGTGGACTTACCCATGCACAACCGAGTGGTATCGTTACTTCCCTTGAGTGGAGCACAGTACTTCTGTCGATGTTTTCATATAAGAGAAAAGGGGGGAAGTTATAATATGAACACATGAATGTATGTTGGACTCATGAAGCCGGGAGACCTCCCAAACGCCTAGCTGGCTTTGAGTGAAATTGGACCACGTTATGAAAGTGACCCACTTGCTACCAAGACGGGTCTGTTCGTTGTTATGGGCCTTGAACGCTGGCATCTCGCTGACCCAGAGAACCCCCTTCGCTCTTCCCGAAAGATTAGCCGAGAGCACGGGAGGTCAGATCCATCTCCATAAAAAGTCACAGAAAATGGCGTAAAATTAAAACAATTTCCTGCGAAAGCTGAGGGCATTCCTTCGTTAGACGTCTTTCCTGTTCGAGGTCATGTGGCTTTTCTTTGGGAGTGCAAAAATAAAAGCATGCCCCGGTTTCCTGTGCCCTGAGGACTTTGAGACAAGACTCCTCACCAGTGTCGTTTTGAAGGGCGCATATGGAAAAGTGGATCTTTTTTTTAAAAAAAGTCAGAATGGTGATTAGAGCAGCTGACAGAAGGCTTTTGCAGAAGTTTGCATTAAGCCACAGAAAGAGAGAAAGGGTCACTTCATAAAATATTTGGAGTAATCAGCTCCACTAGAGGCAGAATGTTTGTGGGACAGGGGCAGAGTTTGGTGGTTCAATAACTTGCCTTGAATGCACCTAGTCTCCAGTTTAAAATAGGGGGCTTGACTCAGTGCACTAGCAGAAGATAGCGCAAGGGTTCCAGCCTGTGCAGAACACACAAACCAGGACACTGGCAGTCAGAGACAGCTACTGGCCTCAGCATAACCCAGAAAGCTTCATGACTATGAACTGGTCTGTGACCCTGGGTGGGGTGACCTCAGCACTTGGTTCAGAAGTTGTAGCTGCTGCAAAATGCAGACTGTTGATGGGGACAGATAATAATAATAAAAATTATACCCCGCCCTCCCCTGCCAAAGCTGGGCTCAGGGCAGCTAACACCAGTAAAATTACAATGGAAACATAATGGGACACACACACACACACACACACACACACACACACACACACTATGGTGCTGGAGGAGACTCTTGAGAGTCCCATGGACTGCAAGAAGATCCAACCTATCCATTCTGAAGGAAATCAGCCCTGAGTGCTCACTGGAAGGACAGAACGTGAAGCTGAGGCTCCAGTACTTTGGCCACCTCATGAGAAGAGAAGACTCCCTGGAAAAGACCCTGATGTTGGGAAAGATGGAGGGCACAAGGAGAAGGGGACAACAGAGGTCGAGATGGTTGGATACTGTTCTTGAAGCTACCAGCATGAGTTTGAGCACACTGTGGGAGGCAGTGGAAGACAGGAGTGCCTGGCGTGCTCTGGTCCATGAGGTCACGAAGAGTCGGACACGACTAAACAATTAAACAACAACAACAAAGATTGTATAATTACTTATCTGTTTGACATCTGATGGGAGTGTGTTCCACAGAACGGGTCCACAGAACTGAGAAGACCCTTTGCCTGGTTCCCTGTAACCTCACTTCTTGCAGGGAGGGAACCCCCAGAAGGCCCTCGCTGCTGGAAGTCTGTGTCCGGGCTGAACAACAGAGGTGGAGATGCTCCTTCAGGAATACAGGGACAAGGCCATTTAGAGCTTTAAAGGTCAGTACCAACACTGGCTCAGATTCAAAGTGTGTTGATTTACAAGGCCCTTAACAATGTGGGTGTAGGCTAGTTGAAGGACTGCCTAGTCCCTAATATCTTTCGGGTCCTAGAATAATGGAATCAAAGAGTTGGGATCCCAGGAGTCATCTGTTCCACTCCCGTGCAATGCAGGAATCTTTTGCCCAACATGGGGCTTGAACGTGCGATCCTGAGATTAAAAATCTCGTGCTGTACCAACTGAGCTATCCCAGGTTTTCTTTTCCAGGTATTAGGGGGAGTCGCTGTTGGTGGTCCCCCATGACTCAGTTGCTTTAGGTGCATAACTAATAATTTCTTGTTCCAGCAGAGATTTGAAGGTAGTGTTTGGTTTTGTGATAGTTTGCCTGGAGTCTCTGGGATTAGAAATTCATGGTAAGGTTTTCCTCTCATTACAACTGTTCCCTTTTCTGTGCTTTTTATGTATGCCGCTTAGAAATGAGAATCATTAAGCAGTATATGCATATCTTAAATAAGTAAATAAATAATGTTGCCCAAAGCTGATGTTTGTGGGTTGTTGTTTTTAAATCAGTTACACTTATACGTTGGAAATTGTGGGAAATGTTATGCAATGTTTCCCAAGGCTTGAGATGGTGGGGAAGTGTATTTTAAAGGCGCAACAAATCTTTAAGGATGGAGAACTTCATCGGCTCCATGGACCAGATCTTTATCGGGATCAGCCTCGTGGGTCAAATTTGACAGGTAGATGAAAAACATGCAAACTGGTTTGGAATTGAAGCAAAAAGACTGGGTTAAAATGAGAAATGGAGACAAACCAAAACTGACCCATTTGGCCATACCTACTCGGATACCAGTCCCCTTGTATTCAATGAGACCTTACATGCAGGTAAATGTAGGCAGCATTGCAGACTTCATAATCCCATGTGAGATTTTAGGCATACATTGGTTCAAAAAAGAATAAGCTCCAGCAAATTTTCGCAGTGGTACTTAGTTTATTTAACACCACAGAATTTCAATGTGTTGATAATGGAAGTGCTCTACCAAGCTGGAAAGTCGTTCAAAGCTCGCTTCTTTTTCTCCTCCTTTTTTTTAAGAAAGGGTGTTAAATGAGCTTCTAAAATCTGATGGTGTTGAAAGGCCGAAAATGTTGAGGAACACATTTGCAAAATAGCTGTCTCTAATGAGATGTTTAGACAGCTGGCTTAGACAGTAGGAAAAGCCAAAATGGTATTAACGGATACACCCAGGGTAGTGAGCCAACTCTCGGGCAGAGTAGCATTTCCACCACAAGATTTTAAAAGAGAATGTTTATAAATTCATATCTGCCGAAAATGAGGAGGAGGAGCTTAGCTGTTGACAGGCTTCCCATGGGAATCATTTGTGCATTTGAATAAGTCGGTGAGGAAATACAATTCTGATTTATTATGTGAAACCAGGAAGTCTCTGATCTGGAAGATAGTTTGAAGGCAGGGTAGGTTCAGCTATCATTTGGTAGTGTTTCTTTGCGTGGCGAGTTCCCACCTCCCACCAGAAGAAATAAAGACACAAGACACCATAAGTTAAGGTTAATGGGCAAAAATTGGCCACAACTTTATTGATTGCAGGAAATGAGCGGTATTGGCCTAGGTATTGGTCCTATCAACTATCCGGCTTCAGGCTGTATACCTGAGAGGCCGGGAAGGGTTAACACCAGCAGGGGGAGCCCTGCTGATGCACATCAACTAGGCACTCCCCTGGGGTCACCGCTCCGGGGCGTGCCTTGGGCCCTGGCCTCCCTGGGCTTCGGACGTGGCCATGCCCCCGGAGTCCTTTACCGGACTACCCTTTGCAAGCGGGGGAGGTGATGGCGCTCCTCCCCCATCCATCTACATAACAATACCCCGACCAATGCCTTACCGCCACTCGAGCAGAAGCTCGCCGCCAATACCCTCAAACCTGCAACCAATCCCTAATCCCTGCAGAAATGTCAGCCAGCCGAACATCGTTCCCCTCATTGGACAGATGTACGCCATCCCCATGGTAGAGGGTCTCCTTGCTGAATCGAATGTTGGGGTGGTCAATGACCCGCCCCCCCAGCAACACCACTCTACGAGCCACCGAGCGTTCCAGTATTTTCCTGGACTTGTGAATAGCAATAGGACATTTGCAATCTCTCCATTTGCGCCTTTCTAGCAGGGAAGACCAAATTATTACTAGCTTTGGGTAAGTATTTTTCAATTTGTCAAAATCATTGTAAATATTCCACATTATGTCCACTCCCTTCCTGTAAGCCAAATTGTTTTCCCCCAACTGAATGACAAGGGCATCCGGTGGACCATCTTTGGCGACTTTGGCCTTCACCGTGGGCAGAAACTCAGCCCAACGCATTCCACGGCGCCGGCATGTTCCCTTAGCCCATGTTCCTAGTCCTCAAAGACTATTGATGCCCACTGTTCTGCAGAAGAGCTGTGTGTGTGTGTGTGTGTGTGTGTGTGTGTGTGTGTGTTTTAAAGATAGTCTTCTTGTTCAGGGTCTACATCTAATGATGACAGAAAACATCCAGCCCCCTGCCCACTCCTGATAGTCTTCCATGCTGTTATTTCCATTGCGCGAACCAACAGAAAAAGGAGAAGGATATAAACCACTGACGCTTTCAAAGAATAAAAAGCTTATGAATAATTGAAATGGGACCAGAAGGATTTGCAACTCCCCGTAGACCTGCTGTACATTACCAAGTCTTTATAAATGGTTACATTATTGTTATTCTCTCTCTCTCAAAAAGAAAGAGCAGTAGCAGTAAGGAGAGTTTATATGCACAATTACTGGACTTCAGCCCAAATTGTGAACCAAATTTGTTAGACCTCGTTCCCTGATGGCCGTTAAAGATAGAATCTGGTTGGAGTGCAACAGCAGGCATTTGGGCATGACTTTTAAATCATTATACACTTCTGCGATGGCTGCAGTTCATCTCTCTCTCTCTCTCTCTCTCTCTCTCTCTCACACACACACACACACACACACACACACAGAAGTACCTTTGGGGAGAAGAATGGGGTAGAATCCAGGGAATGGAATTTGTTCCAGCAGAGGCCTCTGTTAATGCAACAGGGGAGCCAATTTTCTCTTATTCTCTTATTCTCCCTTCCCCTGTGCAATCTCTCCCCGCCCCCACTGCCTTCCAAGCTGTTTGGGAGGGTCTTACAACTGTATAAAGCGAATTTTAGTAGGCACAGAGGAGTGGGGCAGGAAGGGAGAATGGGCAAAATCTGCTCTTCCGTTAATGGAAGATCAAAATGGAATAGCAGCACTGGATTAAATGTAAGGTTTATTTATTTTTTAAAAAAACCCTGTTGGATCAAAGTGTAGGTCCATTTTTTTCTTTAATTTTCTTTTAATTTTTATTGAAAATATTTCAGTTAAAATAAGGTGGAGAAACAAATGAAAAAGAAAAACAAATAGTGCATTGGAAAACCAAAACCAAAACCACACCCAAACACTTTAATTCTATACATACATACATACATACATACATACCCAAACACTTTAATTCTATACATAATACAATGGTATATAAATGGAATTATTGTTCTAATCAAACATTCTCGAATGTTTTGGCTCCCAAACGATCGAAACCCGGAAGTGACTGTTCTGGTTTTCGAACGTTCTTTTGGAAGCCAAACATCTGATGCGGCTTCAGCGGCTTCCGATTAGCTGCAGGAGCTTCCTGCAGCCAATCCGAAGCCACGCTTTGGTTTTTGAACGTTTTGGAAGTTGAACCGACTTCCGGAACAGATTCCGTTCGACTTCCAAGGTACGACTGTATCTATAGCCTACTATATATAAATGTTGTCCAATTAGCTAAAGTGGTACCTCAGGTTAAGAACACTTTCAGGTTAAGAACGGACCTCCGGAACGAATTAAGTTCTTAACCCGAGGTACCACTGTACAGTCTATGAGAGTAGCTCAGTTGGTAGAGCATCAGACTCTTAATCTCAGGGTTGTAGGTTTGAGCCCCACGTTGGCCGAGATATTCCTGCATTGCATGCTGAAGGAAACCATATTGAAGGGTGGAGGGAGAATGCAAGGGAACCAAGTGGTGGCTTCTCTTCTTCACAGCCACTGCTGCCCTTGCTAACCACTGCCTCTGAACTTCATTTAGCAACCTCTACTGAAACATCACCACCAGAATGTGGATTTTTTTGCTTCACGCAAAAAATGGCATGCATCAACCTATAACTGTACCCCCCCCCAAAGGGCAGGCAATTGTAGAATGCTGCCCCATGATTCTTTGTCTTTCCCTGGCAACAATTTTTTTTTAAAGAATGGCTGACTAGGTTAATCTGAGTCGACAGGCCTCCTTCATATTTTATATGCTCTTCAAATTCACGCCCTCGTACTTTCTGCTTACTCTGCTAATACAGGAGTTTCCTTCCCTCTTGCTGTCAAGTTAACAAAACAGCTTGCCGTCTCCAGACTGCACAAGGCTAGGAATAAAGACATCCAGGACACAGGCTTGTTCCAATGGTCAAAGGGGGAAAGTTCACCAAGGTCAATCAGGTTATGATACTCACTGGCTTTCTTGCTTTTCAGTAGAGATGCCATCATGGTGCGCCGGGCCGAGATCCAGAAATGTTAACACTTGCAGCAGAGGAGAAGCGAATGTTAGAAGCCCCCAAATTCTTCTCTGCCTCACATTAAAATCCAAGCCAGAGAAGAATTCCCAATAAACACACAAAACATAACCAGCTGTTTTGAATACAGGTGAAACTCGGAAAATTAGAATATCATGGAAAAGTTCATTTATTTCAGTAATTCAACTTAAAAGGTGAAACTAATATATGAGATAGACTCATGACATCCCAAGCGAGATATGTCAAGCCTTTATTTGTTATAATTGTGATGATCATGGCATACAGCTGATGAAAACCCCAAATTAACAATCTCAGAAAATTAGAATATTAAATGAAATCAGCAAAACAAGGACTGCAAATAGAGCAATATTGGACCTCTGAGAAGTAGAAGCATGCATATGTACTCAGTACTTGGTTTGGGCCCCTTTTGCATCAATTACCGCCTCAGTGCGGCGTGGCATGGATGCTATCAGCCTGTGGCACTGCTGAGGTGTTATGGAAGACCAGGAAGCTTCAATAGCAGCCTTCAGCTCTTCTGCATTGCTCAGTCTCATGTCTCTCATCTTTCTCTTGGCAATGCCCCATAGATTCTCTATGGGGTTCAGGTCAGGCAAGTTTGCTGGCCAATCAAGCACAGTAATCCCATGGGCATTGAACCAGGTTTTGGTACTTTTGGCAGTGTGGGCAGGTGCCAAAGTCCTGCTGGAAAATGAAGTCAGCATCCACATAAAGCTCATCTGTGGAAGGAAGCATGAAGTGCTCCAAAATCTCCTGGTAGACGGCTGTGTTGACCCTGGACTTAATGAAGCACAGTGGACCAACACCAGCTGATGACATGGCTCCCCAAATCTCTTTTCTGATGAAAGCAGCTTTTGCATCTCATTTGGAAACCAAGGACCCAGAGTCTGGAGGAAGAATGGGGAGGCACATAATGCCTGATGCTTGAAGTCCAGTGTGAAGTTTCCACTACTATGCTATAAGATCCACTATCCTGTAATATTACATATGAGCCTGTTCTACTGATGAACCCTAGGATGGCGAAACAAGGCTAATATTCCGGAAATCCTTGTCTGAGACTCTGTGAAAGGATTCTGTGGAACTGTAACAACCCTACATGTGGGTTATTGGACTCTTTGAACAGATAGGTGTAATAGATACTTATACATGTATGGACCTTATGCATGAACTGACTAGAGAATGAACCGATCCACTGGGTCTTCTGCTTTTTTCATTGAACTTTATGAGACTTCTGTTGAAATCTACAAATTGATACAATGAATAGTATACCTTGTTTATTCAAAAGTACAGCCAGTTATGTCTTGTGTGTTTATTGAGTATGTTCCACGTATGTTCCATAGGTTTGTTGTTGTTGTTTAGAGAAGAATTCCCGGCTTGCTCCTGCCTTTTGTGGAGCACCTGAGAAAACTGCTGCTAGGAAGCATATATGTGCTTGTCAAACCTGCCTTCAGAAAGAGACATATTCCTGCATGGCAGGGGGTGAGACTAGATGACTCTTCCAGCCGTATGATTCTATGGAAGGCTCTCCCTTGCAAATCTTCAGAAGGCAGGAGGATTATATTGGGAGGTGGTGTTCCCTTAAGTCAGCCTTTCTCAACCTGTGGGTCCCCAGATGTTGTTGCACTACAACTCCCATCATCCCTGGCTAGCAAGGCCAGAGCTCAGGGATGATGGGAGTTGTAGTCCAACAACATCTGGGGACTCACAGGTTGAGAACCACTGCCTTAAGTGATGGTGATGTCTTCTTCCTGAAACACAGGTGATCATTGTCTCAGAAAACCAGAGGAAGCTCAAAATCAATATATTGAACAAAAGAGGAGATAAAGAACCCAGGGTGGACTTCGTTCCGGGTTGCCCATCTATAAACAACAAAGAGATGAGAAAGAATATGTTAGCTTTCAGGCACTAAGAGTGGGGATTTTGCTGTCAAAACACCCACAGCAAGGCTTGCCTGAATCAGAGAAAGAGTGAAATGTTCAGATTTTCCTTTACCATAGGGTTCCTCTGTGGCGCAGCTTTGGATGTTTCAAATAAGTTGTCTCCTTCCCACTACGTCCCCAACACACACACACACACACTGTAAATCTGTTGTGAGCAATCAATGACCTCTCTTTACTTGAAGGAAAAACTGAACGGAGGACGAGAGGGTGGGAGGGTGGTTGGGGAGGCAATTAACTAATTTTAACCATAAAAATGGATCCCTGTTGGGAAGGCAGCTTATAAATAAACAATTCGGTTTGTTCACTGAACTAAACTGTCATGCGAGCTGAACTGCTGACTCAGACAGAGATAAATAATTTGGAACGTTGACATCAATGACTTTAAGCTGGGGCTTGTGGGGTGAGGGAAATTGCCCCTATCTTTAGCGCACAATGTGCAAAGAAACCAAAGAACAGCTAAGTAAATTGGTGATGGGGGGGGGATCAAAAGTATTTCCCCCCCAAAAAAAATAAACCCCCTGGATGCCGATCACAGATCAAGGCTAGGCCAGCTTTGGTGCAAAGTGAGGCTGTTTGCAATGACATATATATCCGGCAGCAGATGTAGCCTGGCAGTCCAGACGACATTTCAAAGCATGAATGCCAGGGCCAAACGAGACAATGATTGTCTCTCCCTCCCTGATTGCTTTCTCTTTGTTTATAAATAGCAGCCATGATGAGACGGAAGAACTGTGATGCCACTGGCCCTTAAATGGCGCTGTTTGTTGCAGCGACATCTTGGGGGATTTCTGGCAGGGCAATAGTGCATCAGGAAAGGGTTGCAGGCCTCTCCCTGTGTGGCACAGTCCCAATCTGGATTCCCCCCCACCCTTGACTTTTAGCTCTAAACAGAACAAAAGTGGGAGATAGGATAATATGTTTAATATAAGGTTGGGGGACACCAATTTCAAGGGCCAAATGCAGCCCTCAAGTCCTTTCTGAAGGACCAGGTGCGCAGCCTGGGAGTCATTTTGGACTCACAGCTGTCCATGGAGGCACAGGTCAACTCTGTGTCCAGGGCAGCTGTTTACCAGCTCCATCTGGTACGCAGGCAGAGACCACACCTGCCCACAGATTGCCTCACCAGAGTGGTGCATGCTCTGGTTATCTCCCGTTTGGACTCCAATGCGCTCCATGTGCGGCTACCTTTGAAGGTGACCCGGAAACTACTACTAATCCAGAATGCGGCAGCTAGACTGGTGACTGGGAGTGGCCGCCGAGACCACATAACATTGGTCTTGAAAGACCTACATTGGCTCCCAGTACGTTCCCAAGCACAATTCAAAGTGTTGGTGCTGACCTTTAAAGCCCTAAACGGCGTCGATTCCCCAGCCACTCTAGGCGGCTTCCAACAAAATATTAAAATACAGTAATGCAACTGTATTTTGGGCTTCTATAATGTATACAGGCTGCAGAGTCCTGGTTTTCTAGTCACATAATTACCAGGGTGCATAATTCCAGTTGCTTCTTTATTAAAGTACAGAATGCACCCAGTTCTGAATAAGATCGGCTGTACTTTCAAACATAATTGAGGATGCATGGAAGAAAGGGTTTTTTTTTTGTTTTTTTTAAAAACCAAACCCTCAAGTGGAGTCTGTCTACTACACAGTCTATTTGATTAAGGCACTTTATTTCCCGGTATGACATGTTATCATCAGGAAAAAGACAGGAGCTGGCTGCCACTGGAGGCTGCAGCAGAGGCAGGGGCGTGAATATATTTTTAAATGGATTATAAGCACTTCCTCTCTTCGGCTGATACACTGCAAGAGATTAATCCATAACTGCTCATTAACCAATGCTCTGCATCACCGTTAAGTGTGCTGGTGGAGCTTAAGCTGAAGGAGCCCATTTGTAAGGCTTCCTGAGCAATTTTCAGATTTTCTCTTAAAGGGGTACCATCCCACGAAATGAGTTGTTCCTTCTGCCAAGAAATGTATTACTTGCAGGATCTTTTCCTCCCAGCTCAGATGCCTCCCTCACACCTGTCCTGGTCTCCTTTGCCATGTCTAGGACATTTTCTGGGCAGGCTGGAAAAGCGATATAAACGAAATGGAAAATTGCTACCATGTGCTATCGTGAAAAGCAGGGGTATGGGATCTCAGGCCCTGGGCTCAAAGGCAGCCCTCTAAACCTTTATTTCTGGACCTTTGGACTCTCCTCAAACTACACCCCTTCTCCACATCAGCCTGGACCTCAGTGTCTGGGCTGAATGATGGGGGTGGAGATGCTCCTTCAGGTATCCTTGTCATGCTCCTTCAGCACGACAAGAGGCAATGAAGGTGAAACACAGCTTTGGATTGAACAGATCAGATCTAGACCAGGATAACAAATCAGATTGGAATGATTGTGGGAATGTTCAGGGATGCAGGAGAGGAAATATTGTTTGATTATAGCCTT